CTCCAAGTACCAGCTGCCTACAAAATGTCACTGACTGCTGTGGCACTGTATTGGAATAAATAATGTGAGATTCCATTTTCTTTATGCAGGAAAAAGCCTCTTCTTTATTCACATAACTAATTTTTATATGGTTTTACAGACCTCATGTGTGACTCCAATTGTTTAGTAGCTTTCTTGCCAATTACTCTATTGGTTAGTGAAAGGTATTTTATTTGTCCATCAACTCTCTCTATTCTTAAATTGTTTACATATTTTCTTTGCCGATTTAATGTTTATGTAGGTGCTAGTTGTTTTTTACCCAGGAATAGATTGGTATGTTAATGAACTGTTCACATCAGGATTGTTTTGGCATGAAAACTTGCATAGTGTTAGCTTCCCTTAGAAGAAATGACCAAATCTACCAGAGAAGGCCTGATTTTATGAGGCCTTTCTTTTATAATTTTTCTACCTTACTGCAACAGCAGTTCCCTTTGGGAACAATTTTCACCTTGTTCAGCTGAAACCAGCCCAAGGCACCACGACTTTGGCATGTGGTGAAGGTCCAGGGCACACAGGGTGGTCTTTCCCCAGTGTTTCACTCCTAGAACAGCTTGAGGAGTGCCCTGCAGACAAGTCTTTGGGGCTGCAGTCCAACCCAGAGGTGCAGCCAATAAAGGGCAGTAATTTGGATTAAGCTGTAGAGCTCCAGTTTGACTGCAGCTTTTAAGTGAGCTTCTTCCATTCTGAATTGTTCCCAAGACCCCTTTTCCTTTCACATCCTTAAAAAGTGATCACATTATTCTTGGTCTGTTGCATGTGGGCTCAAACGGAATTTAAACTGCCTGCCTGACAATGATGAATGAATCAACTCCAAATCCCTTGATGTGGATCAGCTATATAGCATAACAATAATATTGTTGTTTAACATTTATATTGAAGTAATACCGAGAGGAATCTCATCCACTCAGGGGCTGATTTTGCTGGAAACTGAATAAAGCACACAGTGAAAGAACAAGCCTTGTTCCAGAGACAAGACTGTCTGAAAGACAAGCTGTACCTGTGGAAGGAGACAAACAAAAATGACAAGGGGCAAAATGATATAAATGACAGTTGCATCTTTACACACAACATGGGTGCTGCTGAATTTTCTTGCATGGTTGATCTGCCATGTTGTTTCAAGATTTTGCTCATACTTTTCCACTTTCATCTTCTTTACCTGTGCTCTCAAGTAAACTCCTAAACTTCAGGCTTTTCCTGGCAAAGTTTGGAAAATATTGGAAAAAGGAAGCTGTCCAGAAAATTCCCTGTGACACTTGGTTATTACCTTTGGACCAAATGATTTTAGTTGGCTTTCTGTACCTTGGCAAAAATATTAAAAAAATATTCAAGCTTACTTGGGTGGATTCTTCTCTGCAAAATATTTGTGAAGCTCTCTGTCAAATTCTTTACTTAGATACAATTGTGTTGAATCTGTTACATTCCCTCCCATTTCTCACTTTGTAATGTTTTCACATTTGCAACTGGGCTTCTCTGGAAATATATATATATTTTTTTTTAACAGATCCATTCTTGCTGCTGTTCATTGCTCCCTATGTCCAGCAGGAGAGAGATTTTAAAATCACTCACCTACTTGGTCTAACTATTTTCTTTGGAGCCTAGTGCCACAAACTTTTAATAAAAGCAAACTTGGACATCTTATTTCAAAAGGAATAGAACATTCCCTTGACTGTTTTTGAAAGTCACACCCTGGTTGTACAGTGTTAGAAATATATTACAAAAAAAAAAAAAAAAAAAAAAAAAAAANAAAAAAAAAAAAAAAAAAAAAAAAAAAAAAAAAAAAAAAAAAGAGAGAGAGAAAGAGACAAAGGAACACATCTTAATAAAATATTTTAAATAAAAATATTTTTTATCCCATAGGTAAGCTCTGTGCATATATGTCCATCTATATAAAGGTGCTAACATACATGTTAAAAGAAAATTTGGGCTCCTAGGCCACCTTCCCAGAATCCCACACACCAAGGTCCTGTTATAAATCGTAACAGTAGTAGCTAGACTTCATTTAGTCAAAGAATATAAATACCTAATTACATCTTGGATAGCATTTTTCTAGACTGGATGAATTGTGCCACATTATCTAACACAATTCCTGTTACTTTGTGAGCTTTTACTAAGCTGGAAGCATTGGGTGACTATTGTCTAATAAAAAAAGGTCCATGTGCTAAATTTTAATTTCCAAGGAAAAGTAAGGCATATAATATACTATAAATTACAAGTTGTGATAAGACTGTGGATAATTCCAAATGATAAATGACTTAATTTTATTTTTCCCAGGAAGAGGCTGAAACAAGTCTGTACCTTGCTCTGAAATGGCACAATAATTGGAGTGAGTACAGGCTTACTGCATTTGTCCTGACTTAACATTTCATCAGGATCAGATGGAATTAATTTAAATCTGTGTGGTGTTTGTCAGAGGCCTCACACTTGGACTGCAGTGCCAGCTGCACAACAGGTACAGCCTTGGCCATTTTAGCACCTACCTGCAGGGAGGATGTTGCAATCCACATTTCACTCTGCTTTGGACCCTGATGATTTTACAGAGTGAGACATATTTCTGGATTAGCTAGAAAAGAGTGCTGTGTCTCTGCCATGTGCCTGTAGGATTGTTGCACAGCCAACTGGATTCCTGGGCAGCCAAAACACAATTTGTTTATGAATAGAAGGCTGTTATAGGGCTGGACACATTGAGGGGAAAAGCAAAACACCATAGAAAAAACTGAGCAGAAGAACATTGAGAAAAATAAATATATATTTCACTAAATTGCTAAAATTGGTGGCTGTGATTACTTGATCAACATGTCAAAATATATTTTGAAAAATGATGTGCCATTCTTGTGAAGACCGCAGTGTTGAAGAAAAATTAAATAATAGCAGAGGGGGATAAATTCCAAGAACAATTCTGCCTTTTAAAGCACACACCATATCCCCCAGGCCCAAGTTTGACAGTATTGTCTTCTCAGAGATGCCTTTTGGTCACCATAAGCCTTGGTCAGGACAACATGCAGTGCTGTTTGACAGAATGTGCAGAAAGGGGAAATTCTGTTAGAGTTTATTGAATGATTGATCATGATTTAAATCCACTTCAGAAAAGCTGTTGTGTTCTGGAATCATTTCTTGGCTAATGTACTAATAAAAATGCATTGTATAATGCTACTGCTGGATTTCAAACAATTTAACAGCAAAGAGTTGCTTCCTGAGGAATATTGGAGGTTCCTTCAGAAGACAGATATTGATGATAGATATTACTATTATTATTAGATGATAGCAATTATTATGGCAATGAGCTGGGTCTTGTTTACATTTGCAAACCAGAGGGAAACCTTGCAAAAATCTTAACTGATTTCAGGATGACTTGAGCATTTAGGAGCCAATTACCTCTGCTCATTTCGCTTCAGGCCCTGGGTAGGTCATGGAGCAAATCCTCCATCTCCATACATGTGAACAAGGTCAGTGGAAAGAGCCAGTGCAGATTTCTCCAGTGCAAAAAAGGCATTCCCTGGGTGTCTTTTAGGATCAGATGAGTGCTTTTTGTTCACCTGCTTGGCCTTTGGCACAATCTCTGGTGCTGCTGTGGCTGCAGCTCAGCTGGTGGGATACGGAGCGGATGGAAACTGCCAGGACAGCTGGGCGCTTCTCAGAGGGGCAGTGACAGGATGAGAGACAACAGACACAGATTGGAATGTAGAAAATTCAAACTTCATATTAAGGGTTAGATGTATTTTTTCACCATGGAGAGGGACAAACACTGGGAAAAAATGGCCCAGAGAAGTTGTTGTCTCTGTCACAATTCCTCTCCTGTGCTTGTAGGATACTTAAGCTTTATCTGTCTGAAGTTTCTACAAGAAACAGAGATTTTTGTTGTCATTAGCAGAACTCTGAGAATGACAGGGCTCTGAACAGGAGATGCAGTACAATGGACAGGCAGGGAATGAAGCTGAACAGTGTAATAAAATTATTTTCAAATAAATTGCCTGAAATGCTTTGTGACTCCAGAGCCCCCGAACTCCTCAGGAAGCAGAATTCATCTGGAAAATAATTTTCAGATATCTCCATTGCAAAGAAATCCTCCTGCCCTCCCTGCTCACAGTGGTTATTCTAGTCTTCTATTTGGAATTAGCTATTTTATTGTAAAATCCTGGCTTTGCCAGGGCCACTTTTGGTATCAGTGTGGTGAGAACTTCCCTCTGGCCTATGGAGCTCTTTAAATACTTGTAGGGACAAACACATGGTTAAAAGGACAACCCTAACAGACCAGAGTCATGCTTTGGTGAACTCTCTAGTTAGGGTGTATTCCTAAATAGGAAGAAGTACAAGGGAACAACCTGTAAACTCAAATAATATCATTTACATGGGTTTGATAGATGTGATTTCAGGACACTGCTGTGCATAAGAGAATTTGTTTGGGCTTTTTTCCCTCTAACAATGAATTCGAAGAACATGAATCTCTCACCTCTGTCTTTCATCTGCCTAATTTTCCATACACAAAATAAATAAAAGCAATCGGAGAACAACAGGAACTGCAAGATAAAGTGGATGCTTATGTGTTTGGTTTGCCATCTGCTTTATTTTGGACCAAATACCTGTGTATTCAGTCCAGAACCACAGTGTGTATTTCTTTTATTATCCATGCACGCTGCTTGCCTCATATTTAATCATATTTTTGTTATTTTATTACAACTCTACCGATATGAATTAGGTAATTAAAACTGCTCCAGAAAAATTTTAACACTTGTTCTGTACCTTAAATATTGTTTACAGAATTCAGAAAGCTGTGAAACTCTTTTTGTTGAACAGATCATTATTACTTTAAAGTGCTACACTATCCTTGTCCTATTTTGTGAGGAAGCTGTTGAAATCAAAGAGTAGCTGGCTGCTACTAGATCTAATTATTACAAATTATGTGGCAGTGGTTGCAGTGAGAGACAGGAGGAATTTTTTTGTTTGTTTGTTTTTTGTTTTTTTTTTTTTAATTTTGTATTTAAGGAAAATCAAGTTTCCATGCTGCAAGGAAGAGTTGCTAGTGGCTAAAAAGTGATAATTTCAATTGGCTTTGCTCCATCAGCCACAAGGAAAACACCTGGCAAGCTGCTGCATCCCAGCCAAGCCTTGTTACCCTTTTGGCCTTCACAGTAACTATCAGCAGGCACCGAGTCAGTGCTGCTAATAAACTGGCATTAAAACTTCCACCTGCTAATAACATCTTATTGCTTTGCAGGATTAAATAAAAGGAAATGAGCTGTTTAATTACAGTCAGAAAAATTTTGTAGTGCTGCACTGCCTTGGTTGGTGACAGTAATGCTGAAATGTGTTTTAAGACATGGGTACATGAAGTGATGGCTTCAGAGGTAAGCCAGAATGGCAGCAGCTATTCTTTGTTAATTTTTGGCTTGTAGGAGGTGTAAAACATCTTATTTTTACATGAAGGTAAGATAAACTGGGGACAGTCTTTTCAAAAACATGTGTAGGTGTTTGTAAGCAAGGTTGTATTCATGGAGTTTTTTTTTTTTTTGCTTTTTCTTTCTCCTCACTAATGTTCTCCTTAATGATTCCACTGTATGGAGAATTCTTTGCTGGTTTTTAATTATTTTTGCTTGCCTCACTGCTAGCAAAACTCCCAATTCTGTTTTCCTTTGTGCAATAATGAAGCAGGAGCGAGGTATTATTGTAGCCAATATTTTTATTAAGAGGGTTTTCTTCCATTCTGATTTTTCTGGAACATGTGGAGCAAAAAAAACCTAGAGGAGCAAAAATCTCACCTGGAAGTCCCACGTGTGGGATGTAGGCTGATTTCTTTCTTTCTTTGCTTCATTTTCCACTTCTTACTCTGATACCTTGATTATTTTATGCCAAAGAGAGCTGGATTTTAAAGCACCAGCAATGCACCACAGCCCCCATGGAGGTCTGGTTTGGATTTTGGCATGTTTTGGAACAAGAAATGCAAATATCACTTCCTACATGGAAAAAAAAAATGCCCTGCTGGTCCAGTTCCAGTGGGACCAACTTCACCATGTGTTTTCAGCAGAAAGTGGTTTTCATAGCAATGTTGCAAGCTGTCTGAATTCCAACAATTTTAATAGGCTGGAACATGAATGCCTATCAAAATTAAGATTATTCTTTTAAAAAGAGGTGTACTGCAGCAGTACTTTGCCCTTAAATAACAATTCCCACAATGTGTTCCAACCTCTCACTTCTTCCTGGTGGAGGAATAAGGACTTGGAGGGAGGGACTGTGAAATCCAGGGAAACTCAATTCATGCTTCAGGAACTCCCATTTATTTCTCCTGTGAGCCTTGGCTGGGTTGTCAGCCTGATGCAGCCTTGCTGTGGTGAGTGTTGAGAGCCAGCATCTTCAAAGACAATTAATCTTTAAAAGGACAAAGGGAAGCAGTGGTGTTATACATGCAGTTTCTGTGTTTATAGTTTGCATTTTTTCTTTTTTTTTTTTCATCTTTCAGAGGAACTGCTGTTTGGAATGCTTATCCTGCTTTGAAAAAAAAAGGCATTTCTTAGCATCTTTTTTGAGTAAAACATAGGCAGAGTGTGTTTCTGATCACTTTAAAAGTGCCTGGTGATCTGTGGACAGGGGACTAAAAAACCACAATAAATAACATTGTATTTCACATTAGATTGTTGTGTGGCAACAGGTTCTGGTGAGACAAATTCACAGCAAAATGACTGCATGGTGCACATTTGGTTTTCTAAAAGTCATCAAGTTATGATAGAAGAGATAAAGAGAGTTTTGAAAATTTTAGATTTGCAGAGGTAGCTGTGTGCCTGTAGCCTGATGAAGATTTTAATTATTTTAGTCCATGAGATAAGACATGCTACTCTGAAAAGTGCTCTGTGTGATCCCTTAGAATGATGATTTTAGTACAGTTACAGAGCCTCAAATCTGCACATTGTGGCTGATTATTTTAGGACTGTGCACATTTGAGGAAATCAATTACACCACTTTTCATTTGCACAGCAAAGCCCTTTCTGATATTAATGTTTATTTTGTGGGGAGATTCCTAGGTTTTCTTTTCTCACAGGATTTCTGATTCTGGAAGCAGCCTATAGCACACAGATACAGTCTCACAAAGACTGACTTCAGGTTTTGTGTCTGTTGAGCTTGACTCCCTCCTTATCTTTTTATAGTATTTTATTAACTCTATTTTATATATTTATAGGATTTTATTTAACTCTAACTCCTTACTCTCTGAGTCTTGTGTACCTCCATCCCAGCTGGGACACAACTCCTTTTCTAGAGATTCAACAAGAGACAGCTTGTTTATTCTCTTTGTGTGTTTTTGCCCTGCTGCTGCTAAAAGTAGGGCAGGACTTTGGAGAAAATGCTAAGGTACAGATCCAAATGGAGATTAAAGGAGACAAACTGACTTCCTGTCACAAAAATCTGGAGGTGTAGCTTTGGAGCATGGAGAAAACAAAGGAATGATATTTCATATGTTGTTGGCATCTCCCATGTATTTTAGACTTCATTTTAGTGTTCTTTATGGCACAACTCCAGCACTGAGGGGTTTCTGCTTTTCTTTTTCCTCTAGGAAAGAGAATAATAGCTGGGGGCATGTGTGATCTATGGTCTGAGCATATTTTTTGTGGAGATTAAAATTTGGGTACCTCAGGGCCTCCAACCAGACAGCTTCTTTTTGAAAAGTTAAGTGGGAATCTTTCCTTACAAGCTGTTTTTTTTCCTAACATGTGTTTTCTTCCCCTCTCAGTAATTAGAAACAAAAGCTGCTGATGAAAGGAACCAACTCTCTCCAGGATCCGCACTTTTAGCAGCAGTTCTGTCACTGAAGAGATGTGTTGATGGTATTTTCAGGATTTTGTTCCTCTCTTTGTGTGATGGGAGATGTCAGTGGCCTGTTGAGACATGGATTTGGTCTCCTTAGAAAGTGCTTTTGCTTCAAAACCTGGTGGGGAGACCAGCCTTATTTTCAGAGGTCAGGGGGATACACTGAAAAGGAAACATGAATGAGAGAATATTTCTGGGGTTTGTCAGGTAACCCAGCAATAAATGCTATGCCACAGCGTGCTCTAGCTACCATTTGGCCTGCATATTAAAATAGAAATGTTTTGAATGAGCAACAGCTCTCTGCAAAGCTCACTGTCAGGGCAGTCCTCTGTTCTGGTTGGTGTCACTGGTGGTCATCTTGCTTTCTGGTAGATTTTTTGGTATTAGCAGCATTTAGCCAATCTGATCTTGTGTTCTGGTGATTTATGCCCTGCATTCAGGTCTGCAGTTTTTCAGTGCATATCTAAACCAGGCCTCTCAGTGCACAGTTGTCAGAACTCAAAATGTCCCTCGGGCATTTTTGGAGGTTCCAGGCCCTGGTCAGAAGCATTTGAGACCCTGGCACAGCTGGAAACAGCTGTGATTTTGGGTTTGAGCCATGGAATGATTTACCAACCTTGCAGGAAGAACAAGAAGTCACAGAAGTTTAGATATTATAGTAGAAGTAGTCACAAAGTAAAGGGAAGAATTTTTGAGTGCTGTACAGGGGGGTTTTAAGTCCCGTACAGGACGGTTTTAGGTCTTGTACATGGGTGTCAGAAGTTTTAAGATGGAGGGATTTGGGCCTGTCCTGTCCTCCCTCTTTCTTCTTCCTTACCTCCATGTTCTTGGTGATGTTGGCACTCACAGATTGGTTTAGAGTAGAAAAGCACCATTTAATATAGGTAGCAGGTATTGGGGAAAAACTGTAAACATGTAACATGTAATGTACCATATAAAAGACAGCAGCAGCCGTGGGTGGGGGGAGAAGAAGCAGTGGGGAGTCAGAGAGGATGTCAGGGTGTGTGTGTGCCTCTGCCTGAGCTGTGAGCAAACCGCAGCAGCTTGAGAAGAAAATCTTTTAGATAACTTGCAATAAACTGCCTTGAGACCGGACAACAGAAGAATACTGAGCCTTTTATTGAAAGCACGGGCTGGAGGAGACACTTTTCCCCCACACGAAGCCACCCCTGACCTAGGGTGGTCTTTGACACATAGCACAGTGGGCCCTGCAGAGCAGGGTTGTGGTGCCAGGGATCAAATTTAAAAGTTTGTGGTGCCTGGGACAGTCTTCACTGGCAGTGTCTGAAAGGCAAATGCAGCTCCACTTTCTGCTTATTATTTTATTTCCAGCTGTGGCAAAGGGATAGACATCAAGGCAGGAAGGCTCCCAAGAACTTCAAGTGAACACGCACAGGCATGCTGGTGCATTAATATGTATTACAGGCACATGATTTCCCTTGCAAACAGGAACATCTCTGCAAAGAGTGATAAGCCCTGGGTTCCTTTTCTGTGACACTGCCTATAATTGCTAGGGAAAAAATGGGCTTAAATTTAAAGTTCCTGAAGCACTGCTCAGTATCCAGAGTGGATTTTCAGCACTATTTTTAGCCTTCTGCTTGCTGGGTTAGAATGCAAATAGTTGTGTGCACTCTGGAGCTGCAGAAGTCCACACAGACAGAAAACAGGAGGGATGTTGTTCCTGTCCTCACTGAAGAATTTTGCAATTTTTTCCCCCTTTGTTTTTGCCCAATATTCAACCTATTTGCTGCTACAGATCTTTGAAGCATGTGGGCTGTTGGCTACTGATGATTGTGTAACTCTAACTTAAAGCTGTCTTGTAAACTCTGGTCCATCCAAAGTAAAATGAATGGGACCAGTGGTACGGTTTGCCAGCAGAGAGATTATCCCTCAAGCCAAGATCAGTCTTGGGCAGTGGGGTAAAGAAAGATACACTTCTTCATGATGGAATACTCAATTAATGCCTGGGAAGCAGCTCTGAAGTGAAATGCCCTCCTAAATTATTTTCCAAACCTGCTTTTTTTTGAAATAATCTCGACAAGTGACATAATGAATTGGCAAAATGAAAAGGACCCTGTCACTTGACACTCTATCTAAACAGTAAGGTTGGAGCAATTATCTGTATTATACTTGTCTGAAGAGATATATAGGAAATATATATACAAAAGATATTAGTGGTACTCTTTTATTCCCATTGTTCTTGCTCAGAAACCTAGGTAACAACCTAAAAAAATAATTTCTCGCATATTTCCTCTCAAAATAGGTTTTATTTTGGCTTGATTACAGCCTCCTTTTTTGCAAAAAAACCTCTTCAAAATCCTTCTAGACCAAAATAATGTTGGGGCAAACAGCTGTGAGTCAGTAAAATGTAGAGGTGGTAGTAGGGGGCCATATAAAGGTTCTGAGGCCCTTAAAACAAGGGGAAGCCATCAGACAGCAAAAAAGTAGCAATCATCTATGCTGTGTGCTGGATTGCACCTAAACATGGTTTAGGAAAATGCAGCTCCTTTATTTGAATTTCCTGCCATTGACCAGCTGCTTCAATTCACTA